AGGGCCTCCTCGCTCGTTGGCGGAGGACCGGCCGCAAGAGAGGGCCTCCACTCGCTCGTTGGCGGAGGACGTCGGCCGCAAGAGGAGGCTCGGGCCGTTCCACTCGCTCGTTGGCGGAGGACGTTCGCCGCCTCCACTCGCTCGTTGGCGGAGGACGTCGGCCGCAAGAGGAGGGCCTCCACTCGCTCGTTGGCGGAGGACGTCGGCCGCAAGAGGAGGGCCTCCACTCGCTCGTTGGCGGAGGACGTCGGCCGCAAGAGGAGGCCTCACTCGCTCGTTGGCGGAGACGTCGGCCGCAAGAGGAGGGCCTCCACTCGTCGAGGCTCGTCCACTCGCTCGTTGGCGGAGGGAGAAAACGTCGGCCGCAAGAGGAGGGCCTCCACTCGCTCGTTGCGGAGCGTCGGCCGGAGGAGGCCTCACTCGCTCGTTGGCGGAGGACGTCGGCCGCAAGAGGAGGGCCTCCACTCGCTCGTTGGCGGAGGGCGTCGGCCGCAAGAGGAGGGCCTCCACTCGCTCGTTGGCGGAGGACGTCAAGAGGAGGGCCTCCACTCGCTCGTTGGCGGAGGACGTCGGCCGCAAGAGGAGGCCTCAAGACGTCAAGAGGAGGGCCTCCACTCGCTCGTTGGCGGAGGTCGGGCGCACGTCGTCGGTCGGCCGCAAGAGGAGGGCCTCCACTCGCTCGTGGCGGAGGACGTCGGCCGCAAGGAGGGCCTCAGTCGTTGGCGGAGGCGTCGGCCGCAAGGGAGGCCTCCACTCGTCGTTGGCGTCGGCCGCAAGAGGAGGGCCTCCACTCGCTCGTTCGAAGGAGGGCCTCCACTCGCTCGTTGGCGGAGGCGTCGACCCAAGAGGAGGGCCTCCACTCGCTCGTTTCGGCCGGCGCTCGGCCGCCCTCACTCGCACGTTGGCGGAGACGTCGGCCGCAAGAGGAGGGCCTCCACTCGCTCGTTGGCGGAGGACGTCGGCCGCAAGAGGAGGGCCTCCACTCGCTCGTTGGCGGAGGACGTCGCCCGCAAGAGGAGGGCCTCCACTCGCTCGTTGGCGGAGGCGTCGGCCGCAAGAGGAGGGCCTCCACTCTCGTTGGCCGTCGCTCGCAAAGAGGAGGGCCTCCACTCGCTCGTTTGGCGGAGGACGTCGGCCGCAAGAGGAGGGCCTCCACTCGCTCGTTGGCGGGCGTCGCCGCAAGAGGAGGGCGCTCGTTGGCGGAGGACGTCGGCCGCAAGAGGAGGGCCTCCACTCGCTTGTTGGCGGACGTCGGCCGCAAGAGGAGGGCCTCCACTCGCTTGTTGGCGGAGGACGTCGCCGCAAGAGGAGGGCCTCCACTCGCTCGTTGGCGGAGGACGTTCCACTCGGCCGTCGGCCGCAAGAGGAGGGCCTCCACTCGAACGTCGGCGTCGGCCGCAAGAGGAGGGCCTCCACTCGCTCGTTGGCGGAGGACGTCGGCCGCAAGAGGAGGGCCTCCACTCGCTCGTTGGCGGAGGACGTTCGGCCGCAAAGAGGAGGGCTCCACTCGCTCGTTGGCGGATCGGCCGCAAGAGGAGGGCCTCCATCGGCCGCAAGAGGAGGGCTCTGGCCGAGGAGGAGGGCCTCCACAGGACGTCGGCCGCAAGAGGAGGGCCTCACTCGCTCGTTGGCGGAGGACGTCGCCGCAAGAGGAGGGCCTCCACTCGCTTGTTGGCGGAGGACGTCGGCCGCAAGAGGAGGGCCTCCACTCGCTCGTTGGCGAGGACGTCGTCACTCGCTCGTTGGCGGAGGGACGTCGGCCGCAAAGAGGAGGGCCTCCACTCGCTTGTTGGCGAGGGCGTCGGCCGCAAGAGGAGGGCCTCCACTCGCTCGTTGGCGGAGGACGTCGGCCGCAAGAGGAGGGCCTCCACTCGCTTGTTGGCGGAGGGCGTCGGCCGCAAGAGGAGGGCCTCCACTCGCTTGTTGGCGGAGGACGTCGGCCGCAAGAGGAGGGCCTCCACTCGCTCGTTGGCGGAGGCGTCGGCCGCAAGAGGAGGGCCTCCACTCGCTCGTTGGCGGAGGACGTCGGCCGCAAGAGGAGGGCTCCACTCGCTCGTTGGCGGACGTCGGCCGCAAGAGGAGGGCCTCCACTCGCTCGTTGGCGGAGGACGTCGGCCGCAAGAGGAGGGCCTCCACTCGCTCGTTGGCGGAGGACGTCGGCCGCAAGAGGAGGGCCTCCACTCGCTCGGAGAAGAGGAGGGCCTCCACTCGCTCGTTGGCGGAGGACGTCGGCCAAGAGGAACTCGCAGGACGCTCGTTGGCGGAGGACGTCGGCCGCAAGAGGAGGGCCTCACTCGCTCGTTGGCGGAGGTCGTCGGCCGCAAGAGGAGGGGCCTCCACTCGCTCGTTGGCGGAGGACGTCGGCCGCAAGAGGAGGGCCTCCACTCGCTCGTTGGCGGAGGAAGAGGAGGGCCTCCACTCGCTCGTTGGCGGAGGACGTCGGCCGCAAGAGGAGGGCCTCCACTCGGTTGGCGGAGGACGTCGGCCGCAAGAGGAGGGC